CAAACATATCTTAATAAACATTCTATTTATAATCATTCAAAATAGTGTATACATTTTTTTGGGTACACCCTGTATATATACACAGACACACACACACACACACACGTGAAAGTTTAACTGCTATAATTTAATAAATTAGTTTAAAATAATAATCATGACACAGAGAAAGAAAAAACAGTTGAATTTCGACATTTTAAAACACTTAGAAAGTGATTTAAGATGCTCTTTTACATATTTGTAATTTTTTTTATTCTTGAAACTGATCCAATTTAGGTAATATTTTGAATTATAATATCATAATGAAGAACTGTTACAAAATAATAACTCTGGGATGGAAATGATGCTTTTTTTTTATACCCATGTCAGTCAATAGCAGTGTGTAGGCTGTTTGTTTATGGCAAACCTACTACCACCATTTGCCAGCTTCCCCAATTTTCAACCATCAACCACAGGGAAGGTAACTGGTCAGCAGCACCCACTACCAATTCCCCCTTTTCAAAATAATGATACTATTGTGTCCCTTTTTTTTTGTTTCGCTGTAAATGCAGTAATTAATCAATGAATCTAAACTCAGCTGGTATGTCAAATTGATTGGGATATCTTCGAATAAGTTCTTCTCTAAATTGACCTGGACCCACAGATTAGCTTAATCACTACAACCACATCTAGAACATTTCAAGCATGCTTCATTGATACATAGTTTCACTTCACAAGTTAACTTCTCCATGTTGGCTCTCATGGTCTTGGGTCAGGTCACAGGTCTAGTCCAGTGACCTAGACCTAAAAAATAGTGTGAAATGTCTTCTTTTTCTCTGATCAAAACAACCCAAACTTTTCAAAATAACTAATTTTTTTGATCCACATCAGGATGCAAGGCTGGCTTATGTGGCAGGTGTTAAACATACTACAAAACATGACAGTGCATAAGACAATTTATTACAAACAGTCTGTGAGCTACAGACAGCCATTGTAAAAATATGAAAATATTATATTTTGACTTTTACATAATTTTAAAAATAATTTTCAGTTACTTACAAAACAATTATAATTTCAAGATACTAGTTCATGAGAATGCAGCTAAATAAAGCAAATATAATGAACACAAAGTTTGTGAAAACAACTTTTTTCTGTAACTAATTTATAATTCACTACGGTTTAGTTTTAATGAACATAAATCAAGCATGATTTTTAGGGATTCAAATCATTATACTAAGTTTTACTATTTAATCTATTAAAAAACTTCAATTTTTCTACACTTAATCAAGAAAGAAATTCCAAAACTTTTCAAGAATCTTCTTAAAGATAATAATTAATTTTTCAGGACTCCAAAAATATTGATTACTGAAGAACTTGATCTACAAGAGCAAGTATTCATTAAAGTTTACTAATTTTGCTAATTATTGAATGGAAGTTCTGCTATTAGCTAGTTATCTTAAAATTAACATTTTCCTACACTGTAAATGTATTTCTAAGAGATACTTACCACCTCTCACAAATAGCTTTCTTGACTTATACTATCCTCTATAGGTGCAAATTTTCACTTGCCACTAGGCTTGATACTCCCACCTACACTTATGTGAGACATCTGCATGTTTTCATGGAAATGATTATGCAACAACCCTCTACCAATAGGAGTGCAACACAAATCCTCTCGTCACTAGTGCTCTCTCTTCCATGCATCCATTAAGCACTTTGAGATTGGGCAGTACAAACAAAACCGACATTAGAAGTGGGGAGGTCAGGTGGGAATTGTGAGGTGTCTATCACAAATATTATATCAGTGTAGGAAAATGTTAACTTCCAATACGATAACTTACCTCCACTCACAAAAACCTAGAATCCCACAGTGTCCAGAGGAAGACCATGGGAGATGCAGATAAATGGAAGGCAACACCCCCGTGGGAAACCACACCACTTCTGAAACAGGTATACTCGTCCCACACGTGAAAACATGTCACAATAAGGGCAGAAACACAGTAGGGACTACCCTGCATAATCATGTATGCACATCCAACACAACCATCACCATATCTGCCAGGAACCAACATCCTTGGAAGATGGTATGAAAGTTAAAGCAACGTGGGGTGCATCTCCAGTCAATCACCAGGTGGCATTGGGAATCTATCGCCATGGTAGGAGGAGGTTACCCAGCCAAACACGTGTGAAATTAAGAGACCCAATACGTAGAGTGGCTATGTCAAATCAGACTGTAAATGGGATATTGACCTCAACCAGCACCACGTGAACCATGATAGGGATATCCAGCCCATGGTTGGAAAAGGGTCCTCTACTTTTCACCTGATACGAGAACTGATAGGAACTAAGCTTCTGTACCAAGGATCTGCATCATCATGTATGCACATCCAACAAAACATCACCATATCTGACAGGTACTGACATCTGGGGGACAGTAGGAAGTTAGATAGCAAAGTGGGTGTACATCACTAGGTGGTACTGGGAATGGAATGTTCAGGCCTCTGTTGAAGGAGGGTACACAGCCACACCCATGTGAGGACTTATGTGGCTGATCCAGCTTCAACCATCACCATATCTGCCAGGAAATGACATCCAAGGGACAGTACGAAGGATGGTGATCAGCCAGAGGAGCGAACTCCATGTTGGTAGAAACCATCATCTGGAACTGTACATCAAGACCATGATAGGATGAGTGTTATTGTCATCTACACTGGCAGAACACCATGGCCTTACTCTCAACTGAGTAGGAGTGAGAACACTCAGGAGAAAGTCTTCATGGTCCATCTCCTTAGTGGCTAGTAGCTGGTAAGTGGCAAGTACTCCCATAATCCACTAGAAGAAGGGGGAAAACAGCAAGTTGGAGAGTTTGGAGAAATGCTGCAGAGACAGTGCAATGGATGATCATGACACCTTATTTTGAAAAGCAAGCTGATCCAGTGACCTACATGCATGGATAAGCAGTAATCCCTGTCTGCTTTACTCAGGTTAGTCCACAGGTGTATGGCCCATGGCAACCATCGTTAAGAAGTTAAATACTGCGAGGCATACCTACAAGCAGTCTCGCGGACCACCCCATCTTAATGGTGGTTGTACAATGCAGAAATAAGAATAAGTATAACCTGATCAGGAAATACTTGCCACTGAGTGGGATCTAAATATGCAACAAATACCCCTGCAAAGAAAATGAAGAAAAAGTTTTTTTCCTCCTAACAGAATTTGGAAAACTGTAAATATTCAAAAAATTACAGTTTAAAGAAGACAAAAAAAAAGTTGTCAAATAATTAACATTAAACTCGATCAATCAAGTAAAAATTCAAAAAAAAAGCACATGTCCTGTCAGTTAGACTGCCAAAAGAGGAGTGATGATGGATTGCATGGAAGGCAGGGTTCTTGCATGATCATTTGCACAATAACATGCAGATGTCTCACATAAATATACATGAGGGTAGGTGCCTACAAAGGGCAGTATAAATCGAGAAAAGCTATCTGGGAGT